TTAAAATATTTCATTTTTTAACATAATATTTTTAAAATAAAAATTAGGACAAAAAATATCAAAAATTGAAATAAAGATTGAAAGAGATATACATTATCATGTTGGTAGACTATCATCTATTTGACAAGGTGAAAATAATAAGTAGGGAAGGAGAGAATCTTGCTGTTTTCCTCTTTGATTAAGGAAAGAAAACGGCTCTCAACTTGATATCTCCAGCTCACAGCATCATTAGATTAGCAATATTTGAGTCAAAATGATAATTTTAGTGGCTAAAAACCATTGTTTCCTATCACCTATTCTTACTGTATGTGACAAGTGTCATTATCTTAACTATGACTCTGCTTAAAATATTATACCACCTGCAAAGCTGAATGGAAGTTGACAAAGAAATAATCCATAATTTCAATTTGCTATGTTCGTGGCATATTTCCATAATCCAGTCTTAAGTTGCTTGCTTTACATTCTATTATGTAAACACAGCATGCTCTCAGCCACATAGGAGATTCTCTTTTAGTATTTTAAAATTGGGCGATTTTCATAGACTATAAAAAAAAAGGAATAGATCATTGTATGGATATTTCCTTTTAGGTTTACATAACACAGGAATAATTAATTTCATTTCTTTACTGACACACTTGATTTCATTCTATATAGTTCTATATAGAAATATCGCCAAGTTTCTTTGCTCCCCTACGTAGCAAAACTCCTTGAGAGCTGAATATACTCCATGTCATTGCCTCAGATTTCTCCCTTCCCATTCCCTCTCTTTTTAGACTCTTTATTACAAAATAACTTCAGATTTATAGAAAATTTGCAAAAACGGAGCAAAGAACATTCATATACCCTTTACCCAGATGCACCAATTATTGTATTTTGCCCAATTTGCCTTGCTGCTACTTTCTTCGTAACCACTTGAGAGTTTGTTGTACACAGCATGCCCCTTTATCCCTAAATATTTCAGCATATATTTTCTAAGAACAAGGGATTCTTTCATGTAACCACAGTTCAGCTATGCAATTCAAGACATTTATAGATAGGATATTATTATCTCATACACAAGTCCATATCCAAATTTTACAAATTGTCCTAATAATGTCATTTATGGAAATTTTTTTCTGATCCAGGATCCGGTCTGGAGCCGTGCATTGCATTTAGCGCACTATATCTGGTATCCATTATTATGAAACAATACCTGAGGTTCTCTTTGCCTTTTATGACATTGACTTTTTTTTAAGAGTACAGGCCGAGTGTTCACTTATAGAGTATGCTTCAGCTTGGGTTTTTCTAATGTTTTCTCTTTTGGGGGATGGGATGTGCATTTGGGGCAGGAACACTGAATAGGTGATGTTGTGTCCTCACTGAATTACATCAGGAAGAGTAAGATGCCAGCTTTTCCTATGACCGGTGATGTTAACTTTGAATAGTTAGTGAAGATGGTGCCCCCTCTATATTTGTCCATTTTTTCTTTTCCGATTAATAAGTTATCTGTGAAGAGATACTTTGATGCTATGTAATTATCCTGTTGCTTTTTAAGCTTTCACTTAACAATTTTATTGTCCATTAATGATCTTGGCCTGAATCAGTTATTACTATAAAGGTTGCAAAATGGTAACTAACTCTTATTATTTCTTCTACCTTATTGGTCAGCACTCATTGCAAGGAAGAGCTTTCCCTTATTTATTTACTCGCTTGCTTACTAACGGTATGGACTGCTGGAGTCTTCTTTCAGTCGATGGTTTATAATCCACTCTTCTATTATCCATGCTGAGTTTCAGCTTTTCCCGTATTTGTTCAGAGGGACCCCCTTCACATTGTCTCCTCTGTCATTTTTCTATGAGCCCACCATTTTTTGAGCTCTCCCTTATTTTCTGGCATTACGAGAAGTTACAGTTCATCTTGATTCTGCCTGCCCGAGTCCTAGACTTGGCCATTTCACCAAGGTTATCTGGTTCATTTTAGTGATAACTTGTATTTAAATAACAAAATTTGAGTGCTAGATGTGCCTGTAGCTACTGGGTGTTGTTGCTTCTAAACATACAATAACATGTGCTCTTTTCAGGGCATAGTTCAATGAATTTTGACAGATGTATACACCCATGGTCAATTCTCAGTCTTCATTATACTTGATCTATTAGCAGCATTTGAAACTGAGGATCAAATATTGCCTCCTTGCAATATTGTCTTCACTAGGCGTCCAGGAAATGATACTCTTGGTTGTCGTCCATCCCCGCAGGATAACTTCTTCTCAATCTCCTTTGGTTCTCTCTACTCTTCTCCACATCCTTTTAAGTTGAAGTACTCCAGAACTCAGATTCTGATGCTTTTCTCATCTGTAGTTACACTCCCTCCCTAGGTTAATCTCATCTGACAACTCCCAAATTTGTATCTCAAACCCAGTCTTCTCCCCCAAGCCCTGGATTTTTATATCCACTTACTTCTACTTGACATCTTCACCTGAATCTCCAATTGACATCCAAATGCAACATGTACAAAACTGAAATCCACCCACAGCTGCTCCACCTGTAGGCTTCCCCATCTCAGGTGATGGTAGCTCCATTCCCCCAGTTATTTAGGCCAAAAACTTGAAGGCACTCAAAGTATATTCAGAATCCCTCCACTTCTACTCTCCACTGTTCCCCCCATGATCTAACCGGCCGTCATTTCTTGCCTGGATTATTCCAATAGCTTCATAACAGATCTCACTGCATCAAAGCTTGCTGCTACAATCTCTTCTCAACACAGAAACCACAGTGACCCTTTTTAAATGTTAAGTGTTTCCATATTACTCTTCCTCTCAAAACTTTGTGGTGGTTTCACATTTCACTGACAGTAGAGCCCAAGCCATCACAATAGCTTTCAGGGCATAATTCTCACACACACACCCATTTTGCTCTATGACCACATCTCTTACTCCTTCCTCTTCCTTTCCTCCCCATCCACACTGAACTGCTGCTCACCCCCACATGCCAGCCAACCAAGCACGTTCCCACTCTAGGGTTATTCGAGCTGGTCCCTCTGTAAGGAAGGCATTTCCCCAGATATCTGCTCGGCCAGCTCCTTCATCTCCTTCAATTTTGATCAAATCGTAGCCTCTAATGAGGCCAACCCTGACTACGCTAACACAGAACCCTGGATCCCTCATTCCCTGCGTTTCTTCCTTCACCCTTTCACATACCAGCTTCTAATACATTTTTATACATTACTTCTTTTTTGTTGTTTATTGTTTATTGTCTATCTCTCTATGTTAGAACGCAAGCTTTTGAGGACAGGGATCTGTGTTTTGCTCACTGGAGGATCTAGAACTGAGGTATCTCACCAAGCATCTAGAACAGTGCCTGTTCCTTAGTAGCACTCAAAACTTTTTTTTTTTTTTTTTTTTTTTTTTTGGCTACGTTGGGTCTTCCTTGCTGTGCACGGGCTTTCTCTAGTTGCAGCGAGCGGGGGCTAGTCTTCGTTGTCATGCACGGGCTTCTCATTGCGGTGGCTTCTCTTATTGCGGAGCATGGGCTCTAGGCACGCGGGCTTCAGTAGTTGTGGCTCAGGGGCTCTAGAACACAGGCTCAGTAGTTGTGGCGCACGGGCTTAGTTGCTCTGTGGCCTGTGGGATCTTCCTGGACCAGAGATCAAACCCGTGTCCCCTGCATTGGCAGGCAGATTCTTAACCACTGCACCACCAGGGAAGTCCCCCCTCAAAACATTTTTTTTAATGAATGAACCACTTTATCCTGTACCTTAACTTGATAAACAAATAGAAATGAGTGAGAAGCCATCAGTAGAATTGAGTCTATATATGCCATTTTTAATATTGATGTGAGCCTATGCACCTAACTTCAGTTTACGCCTCTTATCTCCTTATGTTTTTGTTTACATCTCCCCACACATGAAATCTAGAACCATTTTAAAAATAAAAAGAATTTTAATCAGGTGGCATTTTCAGAAAGTAGTAGGTGTTGTCTGCCCTGAATTAAGTCCTTGCATGCATAATTAATCCAAGTAACGAACTGAGTTTGGTCACTCCCTGCCCTTGGGGAGTGCCACATTGCTAAGGAGACCCTTGCCCATTGATTCCTGGGCTTCTAATATCCACCGTGATTTTGAGTTCTATAAAGGAAAAGGGGACATGGGAGGAGGCGCGAGAGAACCCAAAATTTCTTTGTATGTGAACTGTACGTTTTCCTACTAGGACTGTTCAGTTGACTCCAGATCTGAAATTGGCAGCAGACGTCACTTATGTGGCTGAGTGATTCATAGAATTTCAGCTGAGATGAGACATACCTTGACAGACATTCAAATAATGTGCTTGGGGTATTTCTGGACAATCAACAGTCAAGTTTTAAAAGGCACATGTGACAGGAGTGACAGGAGTATTAAAATATCTGTACTGACAGGATCAGATTTTTATGGCCACCAGTAAAAGAGAATATACTCCATCAAGAAATAAGCACCCACTCTGCCTCATGTCATGGCAATCTAGGTCACTCTTGCGCTGAGATTTTTAATTCCTTTACCGCTGATGGTCCTGGGACATTAGGAAACATCTCCTCATGTCTAAGCTAGTGTATTCTCAGCTCTTCTAATTCAGGTGAAGGATTTCATCAGACTAGAGAGAGGATAGGATGAGAACGTGTTCTAAATTTTGGAACCTCAGCTCCAGTATAGCAGGAAAAACAGCATAACTGTTCCTTAAATGCATGCAGAAGGATGTGAATTCACTCACTAAGTTTATCAGCGTCATTCATAAGAAAATGAAGTTTTTAATTCATGTATTTCATGTCTTCCAAAATTAGTCAGAAATATCTCATTTTAATGAATGTAACATATACGAAATATCATTTTTTCTAGGAAAATTGCAAATGCAGGGTTAAATGGTCTGCATTAAGAAAGCACTGGAGAGCATCTCTTGGATTTCTCTCCTTTATATAGTACATTGTAGTTTTACATAGTGGAGAAAAATGGGGCTTTTTAAATATATAACTTCTGAATTTGATTACTTTCCACAGATACAACACACTCAGGGGAAATTGGCACCAAGAAAAAGGTAAAAAGACTGTTAAGCTTTCAAAGATACTTCCATGCATCAAGGCTGCTTCGTGGAATTATACCGCAAGCCCCGCTCCACCTGCTGGATGAAGACTACCTTGGACAAGCAAGGGTGAGCTAGTTACCCCTCTGTCGCCTCATACCAGGCCAGTGGCTGAGAGCATGTGCCCCCCTCTACTCTCCATCCCTCCCACCCCCACCCCCCAATAGCACCTAGGTTTGAGTCTTTACTTCTGTCACTGAAGAGCTCCGTGCCTCTGGACAGTTATTCAACACATCTGGACTTTTATATTCCTTAAATATAAAGTGAAGTAATAGAAACGCTCACCTCATAGGGGTGGTACAAGGATTACACAAGGCAAAGCATGTTTGCATGCTTAATATACTCATGCCTAGCACATGCTAGCTATTTTGATTTTTATAAATGTGCAAAACACATTTGCACAACACTAAATAAAATGAAGTTTTGGACTGGCCGATTACCAGTGAAGGAATGAATTTTTTAACCCGTTGAATTATCTCACCATAATAGCTACCCTGAAATTAACCCAGTAATTACCAACTCTTAATTCCACTTTAGGCTATCAATACAGTGCACTGTCTTTTTATAATTTTTAATTTATTCAAAATAATTTGACAACTATTTTTGCAATGCATTGATCCAACAGAGGGTAGAAATCTAATGTGTGACAATCTAAAAAAAGTTCAAAGGTTATCTCTAGCCCAAACTCCCAAAGGAATTTAAATTTCAGGAATAAACCACCTCAGTTTAAACAGAAGTCAAAGGTAGTATCTTATAGTTCCTATGATAAGGAATATTATGCTGTCTATATGCAATTAAGAAATACATTCTGATGGTATATACTATTAAGAAATAAGCAGCAAGTAATGTCAGAAGAACTAATTTCCCACATTAGGTCTACGAAAAGAAAGCAAATATCACTCCTTGTAACAGCCCAAGGTCTGAGATTGAGTGAATGGTTGGTTGGTTGGTGGTTTCATTTGGTGAGAGGAGGAGAAAGCAAGGCTAAGCTCCCAGTGCTGGAGCATCCACGACAGAGCACTCTCTGTGGGGACCTCTCAAGAAAGACAACGGTGAGATGTAGAAAGAACAACAGACCAGAGGTCAGGATCAGAGATCGAATTTTGGCTCCACCTTTAGAATTGTGTGACTTTTGGATAAAAACTCACTCAAACTAGACTTCACCAAAAACCTACTATCCCTTCATTTTTCTGATGCTGTTCTGAAGGCCTTTGTGTGCCATGATGAGGCCGTTGGATTTTATCAAAAGACACAGGGAGGCCATTCAAGGGCAGGTAGAGGAGAGTGAGCTGGTCCTTACGGGAAGCAGGGCCTGTGAGAGGAGAGGAAAGCAGTCGCAGGAGCTACAGTGAGGATAGAATCAGCAACTGCAACTTTGTGTCTGAGAGTTAACACCATCTAATTCCAATCAGGGGTATTATTAAAAAGAAAAATAGCACAGTAAGTCTACATTGAACAGTAGGTCTTTAAAGTACCCAATATTTTCAATTGCCCACACTTCAGTTTCCTGTCTGTTACAGGGGTTAATTTCACATTTCATCCACATTGAGCAGAGTAGTGTGCTCATCAGTCATCTAGGTTTCTTTTTTTTTTTAAGTTCACTGTAAACCTCCTCCCCTAAGTGCATAGTAGTTTGTGATGTAGAGACTTAACGGAACTACAATTTTAAAAGGTATCTATCGTGTGCTTACTATGTACTCGCACCGCTCTAAGCACTTTTACATGTTTTACCTTATTTAATCTTCACAACAACCCTCTGAAGCAATAGTATTATCAGCTACATTTTTCAAATTAGGAAACCGAGGTACAGAGAGTTAAGGAACTTGCCCAAGGTATCACAGCCAGTAAGCGATGCAGCCAACATAGGATGTGGCGGTCTGATTCCGGAGCCTGTCCCTTTAACACTGTTGTTATTAGGCTGCAGAGTAAGATTTGTCTTACTACAAGCCAGTTGTACATAGATAGTAGTATGCTATTTTCAACTGTTTAATTGTTTAATTCACGATGTCTCAAAGTAAATATTTGAGTCTCCGATATGATTCATGAGAGTGCTGGCTTTTGTTTGTCTTTTCAGCATATGCTCTCCAAAGTGGGAATGTGGGATTTTGACATTTTCTTGTTTGATCGCTTGACAAATGGTAAGTCACCCAAAAGAATTCTCACTAAAGTACACACCGTTAAAGTGGGATTAATTTTGTGAAAAACAAAATATATTTTTAAACACTGTTGTTCTTTTTTCTTTCTTTTCCCACATTCATAAATCTACAGCCACTCAAGAAGGACCAGGGCAAGGGAAAATTAGTTCAAATGAAGAAGAAGGGTTGAATTTGGACCTCAAATCTTAAGACAGTTTCCTTCTGGTCTTGCTGTTTCCAAAGCAATTTAGAAACCACAGATTAGATTCCTTCCTTGCAGAATACTTTGGCCACATGCAAAAGGAAGGAGTTTGTTGTGAGTCAATGAAAACTAGAAACATAAAAACACATCTGATCAGTCCTGACTCTTACCGGGCCAATGGTTTTGCACTTTTATTAAGTGAGTGAGTCTGCCCCATTGCAGGTATTGTTCAGATATGTTTGGCATCATGAGAAGAAAACAACTCCTGAGGATAGAGTGTAAACACTTAGGCTGCAGCTGAAGGGAAAAGTAGACCTTCTTATTGTTTCCACTTTTTAAATTTTTGTGCCTATAAAGGCTTCCCTTAAGAAAACAACAAAATCCTATAATATTTTCATTTGCCCATTAAATGAATGCTGATAATAGGGAGCCAATGAAAGACGTCACGTTTAATGCTGACCGTCACATGTCCTATCATCTACAGGCTTGTGTTTTAAGTCATTAACAGATGGTTTTCTCACCATTCTGTTTCTTGACAAACAACACACAGTGGAGAGAGATACGGCCTAAGACCATGAAACTGAGCTTTACACTGTGGAAAGATAACTAGACCATATAGGGCTGTATCTCATAATCTTGCATTTCGCTTTGCTCAAATCAGTTGAGAGATGGGGACCAGTATATGAAATTAACCATGAACAAAAGAATTTGTTCAATGGTATTTGTTAAAAAGAGAGTATAATCACGACTCTCATAAAGATATGAAGTGATCACATCAATGATTTTATTAAACTCAATTAATTAGAGATCCAGTAAAATGTTACAGCTAGTTCAAAGGAATATTCAAAGAGCCATACATATAAAAGCAGTAAGAAATGCCAAAATGAATTTGTAAATAGGTGAGAAACTGGGAGGGGGAAATCAATTGTATTTCCACCTCACTAATTTCATTTGCATGTATACAGCCAAGAATCATCTGCAATAATATCAGTTATCTACAACTTTAATTGTTGTGAAATAGCTCAAAGATGATGAAAGCTACAGAAACACATAGAACCAGGTACCCTGGAAGAGTGTGCTTGGGCAACACCTAGTTTTCCAATTAAGACAGCCAGTCATCTTCTTGGTACATTTCAAAGTCTTTCATAAACTTTATAATGCTTTTAATATTTAAAATCCTTATCTCTAATGAACAGTATTTCTTGAATGCTTACAAGTTATTGTAGCTTCAATTTTGCACCTCTGCTGGCTTGAGTTATAAAATATCTCACAGTCAAATTTCATCTTCGGTGATTTTCCAAAAGAAGAATAGGCACTGTGGTGGCTTAGATACCCCTGTAAATGTAAGAGTCAATTGGAAGCAACTTAAGACACATTTCAAGTGACCATTAAACTATGTCTTTAAAAAAGTAACCATACAAACACACACACACACACACACACACACACACACACATGTATATGTGTCCCTGATACTGCAGTAGGCAGACTCCTTTTAACTCTTAATGTTTTCATTGCCTTTAGCATAGGGAGAAGGTCTGAGTTAATTTTACTTGTAAAATAAGAGAAAATATGGGACCAGATCATAGTAATAATATCTTTATACTTGAATAATTTTAAATCTAAAGGGGAAAAGAAATGATCCTATCAGAGAACTTTCATTACAGAAACTTTGGATCCTATTGCTAGTCTTGATATTTTAATGGTGATGAAAATGGATTAAAACAGGTGGCTGTTCCCCTATAGGAAACAGCCTGGTAACACTGCTGTGCCACCTCTTCAATGCCCATGGGCTCATTCACCACTTCAAGTTAGATATGGTGACCTTACACAGGTTTTTAGGTAAGTCCTTTTATCCTTATTTCTACCCCCTTGCCCCTGAAAAATGGCAGTCTACAATATTCTTTAACATAAATTGGCAAGAGCCATAGCCTGGTAGATGAAGACCTCATATTAGCCTTAAATTATCTCATCTTAATTTTAAAATAAGTTTACTTATTTAAATCACTGGAAAAAATGCTTACCTGATTAGTTATGTTTAAAAGAGATAAAGGCTATGTAAAGACAACCTTCAAGAGCAAATAACTGTCACAGAAGTTACTGATCTGCTCACGGATGAACAAAATCCCAGAAAATATTCCTCAAATAATGCCACTCTGGATATGAGTTGTTGAAATATTCAACAGGCTTTTTTTTAATGATAAGAACTACCACGTGTGTAGCACCCACCGTATGCAGGGGGCTTTTGGTATGTTATTTCTAACAGCTTCAACAACCCTGCAAGTTGGCCATTATCACCATTTGGCCCATAAGTAAGGAGAAGTACAAAGAGGTTTTGTAACTTGCTCAAGGTCAACAACATATAATTGGCAGAGCTGCAGTCCAAGCCCAGGTCTGTCTGATTTGAAAGCCTACCGTCTTCCCACTCAACTCCACCATCTCTCCTCATCAAGAAGCAGCCCCAGATCTCATTTGACTTCATGCATATTCTTATTTATCTTCCAGTGAATTATCCAGGGCACATTTTTAGTCACCAAATGACTTTCCTCTGCCTCGTAGTGTGTTCCTGGCTTCTTTGACTTGGCACATGGCAGTGCTTTGCATTTGGAAGCTGACTTGACGCATCAAGGATAAAATAATGGTGATGGTGATAACAACAGCAGCAACCACCAGGCTATATAGTGTTTACATATGCTGGAAAGTCTTCTAAGAACTTGCATATATTAACACATCTAATCCTTACAGCACCTCTTTGAGATCAGAGCTGTTGTTATCCCTATTTTATAGAGAAGGAAAGGGAGGAAACTTTCGGTTAAGTAACTTGCCCAATACAGATAAGTAATAGAGCCAGGGTTCATATAATAGTCAAATAAACCTGCTGATTAAAAGGTACATGTGGCACAACAGAAATACTGGAAACAAGCCAGAGCATGGCTCATTCCAGAAACACAGATAACCTCAAGCTAATTGTGTTCAGATTGATTGAGCAAAGTAATGGCCATGAATAGAGCCAAATAATCTCGACTTGTCTAAAGAGGGAGAGCACAGATACTCTGGACGTGTGTATGCACCCAGAGTACATGGGGAAAAGGCAAAGATTCAATGACAGAAATAACACTGGAATCCAGAGCCAGAGTCATAGCTGGGCTGAGAGAACAAAGCCACACTTGAAAGCCAGGACATTCTATACACACTGAATATATTGCATCCTAGACATTGCCTTAGTTATTAGCTGAAGCAGGCAAGTAGCTTCTGTAAATAGCAAATCCAAATTGCCTTCCTTGTGTCTCTATTTGGTTCCAAGAACACTCCGGTCCCTAGATTGGAAGGGCAAGAAAGATGATCATTTAATCTGAATAAGATAGAAATAAATCCAAGGATTCCTCAGCTGGATCTATGAATTTCTGCCTGAAGAATCCCCAGATTTGCTTTGGTCAGTATTTGTTACTTAAGTGATAAAGCAACCTTTGGATGAGAGTAGGTCTCTTTAAAAGGAAACCTCTTTTATTGGCACATTATTCTTAAATGGCAGCAAACTTAAATAATTAAACTATAGTGTGAAATAAAGTTGCCCTTTTCCTACATATTTATTTTTCCAATGAATGAGAGCCTTCATGAATGCCAGAGAGGGGTGATTTATGAAGGTGGTGAGAAATCCCAAGGGCCTCACAAATCCTTTTAGCCTTTCTTCCCTCTTCCCTCCCCCTCCTTCTCCACTGAAATCAACCCAGTAGAACTGCCAAGCTGGCAAATCGTGTCCATTTCTAAAGCATCCGCAGGCTGCACATTTTGGAGACACTGTTATTTTTAAGCAAAAGGGACCCTCAATAAGTCTGAGCTAGTATGTCCTTTGTGTTTAGCTGATTGAGTTATCTGTTTACCTCCTAGTCATGGTTCAAGAAGATTACCACAGCCAAAACCCTTATCACAATGCTGTTCACGCAGCCGACGTCACCCAGGCCATGCACTGCTACCTAAAGGAGCCAAAGGTAAGGCAAGACCCGCTGCCTCCTCGGCCATCTGGAAATGCCATGTAAACTACCTGCCGGGTCCCAAATCACCTGACATATCAGAGCGACTGGGTTATGGGCCAATTTATAGCATGAATACATATTGCTTCTATTAAGGTTTCAGCATCAGCTCTGAAAACTGTATAATAGTCATGAAAGAGGATGTAAGTTTTCAGAGGTTCTGTTTCATAATTTATATATTTTCAAGGCTGCATTAGGATGAAAACAACTCTCTCTATGACAATCTACGTCCTAGATATCTTCAACCATCACAAAAGTTAGCTGCTTTTGCCTTGAACCTTTGCCACCAACAGTACCAGAACTGAACTTTTCTAGGAAGTCTCCCACCTCGTGGTTTTTGATCAACAAATAGAATTAAAACTCCTCAAGACTCAGCTGCATTTCCTACTGAGGCGACTAGGCATCCTGATTCAGGCCCAAGAGAAATTGTGAGCATCAAAAACCTCTTTAAAAATATGCCTAGATGCAACATATTAATCCAAAATTTAAAACATTATAGTAATGCTCGTTACTTAAAATCTAGGCATTTCTTAGCCATATAAAACCTAGCTGTTAAAACATACAGGATGAGGTTTCTTTAGGGTTATCCAACCCTGGATAGCCAAGGAAAATGATATCTCAGTCCAAGACTCTGTTTAGTTCAATCAGTTTTAACATCAACCACTAAATATACAGATGCCAGATAGGCATTCCCAAGACAAAACTGGGTATGCCTTATCCTTATAAAATATCCCAAAGACATTAAAGGTTTTGTTATTTAATCCCTAAGTAATTTGAAAATTGTATAGATTGCACAGTTGTGTATTTAAAGCTAACATTAGATTCCCATTTTCCTGCTTGTTTTCCTAGCTAGCCAAAAAAAAAAAGACAGATTCTCACACATTCCCCCACTTTATTTATTACACATTGAAGAAATATGCAAATTTTGCAATTCAGCCCACTGTGGATTTCATATTCGAAGAAGTGGCAATGATATATTGGATGGTTGAAATACACAAGGGATTTTTTCCATCGCTTTGGCTTCAGCTTTTTCCTTCACTTACAGCTTTCCTAGGAGCAAGGCTGATTTTAGACTCTGCCTTCTCCCCGCCCACTATAGAGCAGTGTTGCCAACAGGTAATACTACTACAACAACAAAACAAGATAGTAGCAGCAGGAAGGGGAGGCCACCTGGATGAGCTACACAATTTGAGTTGCTTAATTCCTTTCCTCACAGCCCTTTCTTTGTTCCTGCGATTCCATGGTTTTATTACCTTATTGACAGCTTCAGAAGGTTAAGGTCTGGATGAAAGGCCTGAACGATACTATGATGATTCATTCAGTGCGATTTAGCCAAAACAAATGCTAACCTATTTTTGGAAACACACCAGTCAACCTCCCCATTCAATTCTTTAACAGCTCGCCAGCTCCCTCACACCTCTGGACATCATGCTTGGACTGCTGGCTGCCGCAGCCCACGATGTTGACCATCCAGGGGTAAACCAGCCATTTTTGATCAAAACAAACCACCACCTTGCCAACCTGTATCAGGTAAGGGAGCCAACATGATACAATATGGTTAACTGCTTTAGGCCCAGTGCTGTAGCCTGAATCTCACCCTTGGAGATAGCCTTCATTCAGGGTCAGCCTCAATGATGACCACAGCCAAAGAGCATGGGTTTGAAATAGGTTCAGAGTGTCCCCCAGGGAAGATTAAATTGGTTTACAAGGATATCCAAGGAATTCAATTTGCTCTGAAGCAGGTTTGAAATTGTTCTAAGTCAAACAGGATTCCTGAGTCTACTGTCTCATGGTCTGAGACTATCTGTCTCCATAGGAACCATCTAATATATAATGGCCAGTTGAAGCCAGTCCTCGTAGAACTTCTATAAATGATACTACCAGGTGCAATCCTAATTCAGATTTACGTCTCTAGGGCCATTTCTTTTTTAATCATGTTTTTATTTTTTTATTGAAGTATAGTTGACTTACAATATTATGCTAGTCTCAGGTATATGATATAGTGATTCAAAGATTTTACAGATTATACTTCATTTATAGTTATTATAAAATATTGGCTATATTCTCCAGGGCCATTTCTGAACATTTTGGCCTCTGAGTCAGAGGTATGTTATCGAAGACAATAGGCGTACTTTGTTGTTATAAAATTGTTCAACAGCACGAGTAGATTGGCCCAAAGAACTCTTATCTATGATATTACTTCAGATATTATAACCCTGTATCATAAATGAATTATTCCCAGAATTTTCAACATGGTTTGGGGGAGACCTTTGGTTGTCATTAACAAAATCATTGCATTCAAAGGAGTCATTGATCTCAATTTTAGTGCATCTTTTGAAAAAATTCAGTATGGGAAGAATTTCTAAAGGATTCCCGTAAAACAGTTGCGTTATACAAAACAGTGCAGCTTGAGGATAAAGTACAACTGAAACATGAAACAGAGCTTTTTTCCATCCAGTTGATTAGCTTTTGGTCCAGGTAGGAATTGTCATTCCAAGGTTTATGGATCCCCTGGGACATAATTCAGCACTCGGCTCTCTTGGTCTGTCAGCCAGCACCTGGAGCTGGGATAGAAATGACCATAAAGAGGGGACAGGGTGACATAATTTAGAAAAACTTTTGATGATGAGCTGAAAACTAAACAAATAAAATGAAAACTAAACTTTCTAAACAGTCTCAGAAGCTAAATTTATTGCTTGGGGAAAACATTAAAAATTTGACCAGGGGAAAAAAAATGAATGACTGAACTGAGAGCTCCCAAATAGATTTTCTATTCCTGTCATATTTTAATTCTGACTTTTCAAATGTCTTTAATTAAATAAAGAAAATCAAGCAACAAGACTGGCTACTTGATCTACTTCCATATAATGTAAATGCTTACCTAATTCTAATTTCTTATCATCAAATAGATCACATCAATGGAGTTTAAGAGAGTATGTACTGCTACTGACTGATTTGTACATGAAAATAAGGATCATAAAGCTGTGCTTTGACGTGTAGTGTATATAAAACACGTAATGAATGCACATTTAGGCAGAAAGTCAGAAAGAAATATGCCAGATGTTAAAGATGTAAAAACCAAGAATGTAGAATTTCATTAACTACTCACTGCTAATTAACAAAAATTGATTCTCAAAAGAAAGATACTGCAATTACTTGTTCATATACTAAAAATGTTCTCAAATAAATGGATTCCTTACTCAAACTTTTGAAGTACAGATAATTTTTGATAATATTTAATCTCTTTGTTAAAAATAAACATTCCTATACAACCAAATTCTGCAGCCTTTTCAGCACAACATACAGTCTTGTATATTTTGAACTAGCAACTATTGATTGCATGCATCAGATGATATACTAGGACCTAGGCGTACAAAGATAAATAAAATATAATCCCAGCCCTTGGACACTGGTTCAAACTCAGATGCTCAATATGTGCAAAATCCAAGAAAACTTAATCCCAGTTTGAAAAAGTTTCGAGGAGTTAGAGCCAAAGATACGCATGGATATCTCCGTATACATACCTAGAAACAACTTTTTTTTAAAGCCTCTGAAGACAAAATTTCCCCATGCTGTTCTTTGTATCCAAAGATGTTACAACAATAAAGTGAGCTATTTTTTTTTTTCTAGCAGTGAATTTATCCATCTGAATTGTCTGGCCTGATGCTCGATAGGAAAGAGAAGGACCCTCTTGATAATGACTAGACAGAAGCTGGCATATAGGACTCAAAAACCACATTCAAGAGACTATCTTCATCAGTCCCCTGCTCAAATGGTCTTAGGCGCTCTTGGAGGCTAGAGATCCATGTTTCTAAGTTTTAGGAACAGTGTTGAGGGCAAACCAGTATCACTTAATGTCATAAAGATACTTCCAATATCCTAGAGCTGGCTAGTATAAAAGATGAAATTTTATCGGCCAACTTGGGACTTTACATATTAAAGTAAAAATTGTTAAGAGGACCTAAATATAATATGAGATTTTAATTTTGTCCGAAAATATATATATGATGGCTTTTACATTTGTCTATATACCGTTCTTATTAACTATATGAAGGAGCTCCAAAAAGATAAAGAAAATTCCCTTTAAAATTCAGTTCAATGAATTGTATAACTAACCTTTATTCAACACTTACTATGATTCAAACACTGGGCTAAGTGATTTTATCTATTATATTATTTAATCTTCACAATAGCCCAGTTAGGTGGGTACTATCATCATACCTATTTTCCAGAAAGAGGAAAATTGTTATTAGGAAATCCAAGTGGGTTTTCCTGAAAATAAACAGCTAATTAATGGCAGAGGTGGAATTAGAACTCAAGACTTTTATCTCCAGAGCCAAATGTGCCTAAGCACCACACATACTGCCTCTAAAATTCATACTGATCACCAGTGATGTGCAGGAAAGTAAGAGCTCTCCTCCAGGTTCTCCTATCGCAGTGAGGGAGACAGGAGGGTTATAGACATGTATCAATAGCTTAAGGTGGGAGAGCCTTTGCTAAGTGCTCTACGGTAGTTAGCTACAAACAAAATGTGACGGGAAGACAGAGGCGAAAGAGAAATTGATTCTGCAGATGGTTTCTGGAAATAAAAAAAATTAAAACAAAAAACAAAAATCAACCTCATGGAGGGAGAGTAATATAAACTGGGCCTTGAAGTGTGAGTAACATTTTGAGTAGCAGGGCAGAGAGTGTGACATCAAAGGCAGCATAAACTGGTGTACTTTGGGGATGAAAACCCACAACTCCAGAGTAACTGCAAATGGACTGTTTCTGTGTCCTTGAGCTGAATATAGTCCTGTCATGAATGGCCCCTGCTCTCTGTTCAATGACTTGGGCATGTTATGATGAAGTGTATATTCTCCCTTTTGTAGACACTGTAGGTTAGCTGTACAGAATGTGATCTGGGTCAGAAAATCATTTCACATTGTCAGTGAAGAACTGGCATAACTCTTTAGGTTTTTAATTTCAAGAAAAAAAAATCGTGTTACATAAAATATCAACTCAGCAAGATCATTAACAACACATGATACTTTAAAATCTTTGGAAATACAGCCTTTTAGCCTACCAAGGGCCTGTTGGTTGAGACATAAATAAGCTTTCAGGAAACTATATGCAGATTTTCAGACGACGTACCTTTACACATTTTTCTAGGGAGAGGATCCATGACTTATATTTTAAAATGAGTTATAGATCCAGAATATATTAAGAACTGTGATAATGAGTGGAAAAAAATATATACACATCATATATATACATATATATTACACAATACATATACATATATTGTGTAATATATGTGTGTGTGTATATATATACATATATATATATACAAAAACTGTACATGCACATGAACACACATTTGGTCGAGAATAGCCAAGAAGATGTGCCAGGAATTATGGGGCTTTGAGAACACCCTGTGCGTGACTTTGTACAATCCAGACTTACTATAAATGAGATAAAATGGAAGAGGGCTTCCTCTCCCTCCTTTTGTTGGCTGTGCTCTTTTAGTTCTAATAAATAAGAAGATCATTGCATAAGACCCAGCCTGTGCTTCTGCCCTGAGATAAAGAGAGGGCCAGGGCAGCTGGAGTGAAGGCCAAGTTAAAGGGCTCTCTCCCATTGTCCTCTGTCTGGGCCAGACTCACTAGCTGAACTGCCAACCCAAGTTCAACATGAAGACCATAAAGGCATTTCCACCTGGCACCACTCTCATCAGACTGGAAGCAGTCCAGGTGTCCGTGGTGGACTGAGTGTACCTAACAGGATGTGAGAGATACAGCTGAGAATTTTTCTGTCCCTCCACCCTCCAATCCTCCAACATGTGGGTTCAGCAGTTTTGCAAAGTAACCATTAAATCAGACATGATATTGCTTATTACAATTGCAAAAGGAATTGCTTTCAGTTCAATTTAAAATCTAGAATATGATACAAATGAACTTATTTACAAAACAGAAACAGACTCACAGACATAGAAAACAAACTTATGGTTACCAAAGAGGAACCGGGGGGAACGGATAAATTAGGAGTTTGGGATTAGCAGATACAAACTATTATATATAAAACAGATAAACAACAAGGACCTACTGTATAGCACAGGGAACTATATTCAATATCTTGTAATAAACCATATAAAAAAGTTAATTCCTTTTGATAGAGTCCAACTACATATTAACTAGTGACAGAACAACCTAATGAATAAAATAATTAATAATTAGTTGTTCCATGAAACATTGTATTTATTACATTCTCTATTTGTCTTGCAGAAGTTTATAATCATTTTTCTTGGTCACTTATCACAAGCACTTAGAAGAGGCCAGCATTTTTAACCACTTTTTATTCTTAATGACTCTGCACCATAAATATGAAGTTAGAGCCAGAAGACATGTTCCTTCCATATGGTCCTATAACCTCTACTCAAACAAGCAATTGCAAAGATTATATGTAACCTCATGATTTCTGTCTCATGAAAGGTGTTTTTGGAAAGTGGAGTGAAAATTGTAAAAAGGAGGTTCAAATTTGAGTTTCTGTTT